GAATTCAGCGGGCAGAACGGGGGCACCCGCGGGGGTTCCGGACGAACAGTTCGGCCGAGGGGGGCGTTCGCGTTGTTTTCAGGAGCTGCGTGCTCTCGGCGGCGCGGGGCATGCCTGGGTGGCGCGCGATCGGCGACGCCGCGTGGAGAGCGTGGACAGCGCGCCATTCCTCTTCACATACTGCGGAGGCGATCCACGACCCCTTCCTCGTTCGTTTCGGATCGCAGCGCGGCCAGAGCACTCGGCGGGGCGCATCGACGCGGAGGCGTTCCTAGATGCGCAGGAGGCATTGTTCCCATATGCTATCCATATGCGTCATGCAACGGGCGTTGATCGGCTCACGTCCGACATGATCGCCTCCATGGCGCAGTCTCTGGAGATTGATTGTGGCGGCGCTCGGTGCCTCCGCCTGTTGCTGATGCAGGAGTTCTGCCATTCGGGGGGCGACGCTCTCGGCGGTTCGAGCTGCAGCGTCTGCGGCCGTCTAAGCACAGATTTACTTCCACGTGGGCCCCATCGTGTCTGCCAGGGATGTCTCCGCTCATCGCCGCCAGGCGCTGCGGCTTCTTCGTCTTCTCCTTCGCCGCCAGACTCGGGCGCCTGCCCACTCTTCGGAGACCAGGGATTTGACTCCGTCGGGTTCGCGCAGTTCGCGTTGAGTCAAGCAGACGAACAATTTGGGTGGATCCAGTTTGACGCGTCTTCCCTGAGCGGCGGCTCGGCTGCGGACCTTCAAGTGCCTGACTAGGGCGTCGAGGTCGGGGGCGGAAGCAGGGGTCGGGTTGGTAGTTTTTCTTTGAATGCAGTAAAATGGTGTCTTGCCAAGACGTCGACGAAAAGAGCAGGTGTCTCCGGAGTCGGGGATGCTAGAGTAGAGGTGATATTTTCATCCCAAGTTGGAGACAATTTCAAGAGAGAGTGGCGCGGCGTCGAGACGGACGGGGTAGACTTGGGCAAGGAGTTCGTCGCCGATGACGCCAGGGAGAAACTCAGACGGCTCCAAAGGGCTGGCATACTCGAGCGGGGCAGACCAAGCAGCGTTGTACTTTTCCGGACGAAGCCCGAACTTGCGAGCAGGAGGGCTCCTGGTCCGGGGCCCATGAAGAAATCAGATTGGTACCCCATGGCGAAAAAATTGCTGAAGGGGCGCAAGGTTGTTCTGCGCGCTGACGGCGCCCTTGCACAAACTGGGGCTGAACCGAGAGACCGCCCTGGACGGCGTCATCCACGATTGCGTGACCCGCGAGCCCAAGAAACACGGGAAATTCCTGCGCCCCAAATACGCACAGGTCTTCGCTCACAACATGAGGGGCTTACCATGTGCACGAAAGGTGGGGCCCAGATAATTGATCGGTGTTGGAAGCAGATTCGTAAGTTTGTAGGCAGACGATCGGCCGCTGGTTCATCCCAGAAAAGGATAGATGCGCGCGCGCGTTGCACAGTGGGCCCACCGGCACCAAGGCGAAGATTTGTTCTTGAGGGCGGGGGGAGTTTTTAGGCGCCGCTGTTGAACTGGCACTGCGCATCTGAGTTCGCACTCGCATCCTTTGATCCAAGAACACATAATTGGAGATCTTGGTGGTAGACCTGAGCGGAGCTTTCCATCCCCCAGACTGTTACAACATCAACGGGGAATGTTTGTGAACGCGCTGAGCACGACGCCTCGCGTGAGCACGACTAGATTTGGTTATATATTGTTTGTGTGGCATGTTGGCTCTCTGGGAGTCCACTTGCTGCGTTTCGTCTGTCTGGTCTGGTCCTCCACCTGGTTCGTCTCGTCCGTATGCGCTGCCTGATCATTCTGGCGTGTCGGGTCTGGTTTTGCCTGTCCGGTCCGTCTGCCTGCTCCTGCCCCTCCTCCGTCCTGCTGCTCCTGCGCCCGTTGCTCCTGCTCTCTCCTGCTCTTCCCCTCCTCCTTGATTTGCTACCGTAAGGGCTTCGTCCCAGGCCGCCAGCCCCCTGTCTCGGATGACGGGAGATGCAACAACTAAATCATGAGGTCTGGGCGCCGCCGTGAAGCAGTGTCGGGATTTGATTGTTTTTTCGACCCTGACCCTACGGATCTGCGTCACGAGTGCCACCGGATTTTAGAAATGTGGCAAATGCTTTTTGTTTTTCGGACCCTGACCCTACGGATCTGCATGCGGGGTGCCGCCGAATATCAGAAGTGTGGCAAATCCCGTGTGTTTTTGGACCCTGACCATGCCGATTTGCGTGAGGGTAAAACAAATGTTAAAATGTGGCGACTCCCCTTTTTTCTGGACCCTGACCCTGCCGATCTGTATGAGGGGTGCCACCGGATTTCAGAAATGATGCAAATCCTTTGTGTTTTTGGACCCTGACCCCGCCGATCTGTTTGATGGGTGCCAGCAAATTTCAGAAATGTGGCAAATCCCTTGTGTCTTTGGACCCTGACCCCGCCAATCTGCGTGAGGGGTGCTACCGAATTTCAGAAATGTGGCAAATCCCATGTGTTTTTGGACCCTGACCCCTGAGGATTTACGTGAGGGTCGCCAGCAAATTTCAGAAATGTGGCAAATCCCATTTGTTTTTGGACCCTGACCTCTCCGATTTGCGTGATGGGGTGCCGCCGAATTTCAGAAATGTGGCAAATACCATTTGTTTTTGGACCCTGACCCCGCCGATCTGCGTGAGGGGTGTCCATTTTTACCCACCCCAGCAATTCAGACAACACGCTCAGGGCGTGGTAAAAATGCCCATTTTGGGCCTCCCCCCCTCGCGCGGTCCATCAACAGGAACAGTAAGCAGCAAGAAGCAGAACTAACAGTGGAACCTGGAAGCTGCAACTGTTACAGGAAATCACGAACCTTCGGCCTACAGCCTGGTGGCCCCACAAGCGGGCCGGCGGATACCTTTGTTTCTCACTGGCTGAAGCGAACAGTTTTTGCAGAAGAGGTGACGATGACGATGAGACGGCAAAATAGTGAGCGTGACTTTGGGCCAACAAGACAACCGAGCTAGAAGATGAATCGGCGTCGCCCGCAACAGAGCAAGGTTGGGACTATTGGAACATACTTTCAACGCAATCGGACGCGTGGCATGAAGGTGATGGGTACGTACAAAAGGTGGGCTTGGCGATAGCTGTTCTCAGTCTTCCGCACAGCCAAGACGCTGAAGCAATAACCTCTTTGGGCTCAGCAGGGACTCTGTACTTTGGACTTCGAGCCAATGCGAAGGTGCTCCCCGTGGCCAGCAGCCGCTTCGTTCCTCTCTCAGCGTTCCTCCGGGTAGCACGATGATTGTGCGGCAGGGTCGCGTCGTGCCGACCCGCCGCGACCCCGCCGTGAACGTTCAAGGTTTGGCGCAGCCGGTGGCCCAGAATCGGCCTATATGGCACGATCTGGCGATCGAAGGGCCGCCGCTCGTTCAAGCTTGAGCGATCCACGCGGTGACAGAAACCAGCGCCGTGTCGTCACGAGACGAGCCTGCCACAGCGCTTGTGGAGGGGTGTGGTGCCACTGCTGAGTCCGGCGATGCTGGCTGTCGTCGATCGCATCACCATTTCCACACCACTGGCACCACACCCCTCTATGCCGCACCCCTCCCCGACGTCCAAAGCACTGTGCCGCCTACGCCGTTCTGCTGACGCTTCTCCTCCGCACTCCTCCGCCCGGGGCCCCTGGAAGCCTGCGCTCCACTCGCAGCACCCGCCGCCCTGCCAGGGTCGCCCTCCAGGCCACGGCGGGCCCGAGTCGGCTCGACGTTCCCTGGTTAGAGGGGGCGGAGCACCTCCACCAGAGCAGGGAGGAGGAGGGGTTCCCCCAGTTTTCATTTGTTCGGTGTCAAATCATGGGAGCCCTGTGTACCATCGTCATTCCGCCTTTGCTAATCGATTCGATAGCGTCAGTTAGCGCTTGGTATTCGATGAGATAGCGCCGATGTATCATCGCTTGCGTCGATGAGCGTCGATCTTCGTCGATTTAGCTTCGATAAGCGTCGATTCGCAAGGGCCAACCAAATGGCATGGGAGGCTCCCATGAAATTCCGTATGATATTAGGGAGTTCCCCCTTCGAGGGGAAACCCTCACCAACCCTGGATTGCCCCTTGTCTTCCCTCTCCTCCTCGGTCTGGTTAGTGTTTCCCTGCTCCCTGGCTTTCTCTCCCCTCCGCCTTCCCCCGATGTCTGATGACCATCTGGCAGTCGCTTTGGGCTGTTCGTAGCCTGCTGCGTAATCTTGTGGTCTGGTTGGGGTTCTTGGGCCGCTCTGGGTGCCCTCGTGTGTGCTCTCGTGTGCCGTCTCGGGGCCTTGCTGCGTCGTCTTGGTGGGCCGTCTTATACCATGTGGGTCTTTTGGTACCTTTTCTGATTGGCCTGTGCCTCTCCGCAGGCCGTCTTCGGCCATCTCCAGGCCCTCTTAGGCTATGTTCGGGCGCTGTTGGGCGCCTCTTGAGGCAGCATTGTGGTTGTCTTGGGCCGTCTTTCAGTGTTGTAGGTCCTCCGGGGCACTTCTGTGATTCTAAGGGGGCCTACTGGAGGTCCTCTTGTCGGGAGGGGTAAAGTATGGATGCGCTGTTTTTTCCTATCTATGCGTGTTGCCTCTCAGGTGGTGGCAGGAGGGATCCAGGGGGCGTCTTCGGTGTTGGGGTCGTCCTGGGGCCATCCATAGATCCTCTCTGAACTCCTTGGGCACCGCTGGCTGCTCGGGGCAGTCGAGGGCCATCTCGGAAGCCCATCGTTGACCGTCTGGAGCCCGCGGGGACGCCCAAGACGAGGACCACTGTGTGCGGAAGCTCGGAGGAGTGCCGCGGCTGTGGCGCGGCGCCCCGCGGTTGAGGCAGGTGGCGTCTCAACGCGTCGTTTCTCATTCGTTTTGGGCAATTTGGTGGAAACAGGACACACGGAAGCATTTGCACGAGGAGGTTCCAGATCCCCTCTCCCTCCTCCCTCCCTCCTCCCCATTCCCCCTCCCCATCTCCCTCCCCTAGCCCTTCCCTCCACCTTGACCCTGCGTCGAACGCGTCCTTGCTGGGCCGGCAGATAACGACATGTTGGTGCCCTCGTCGTCCTCCGTGGCATTCGCGGAGCAGTTGCATGCGGCGGGGGCCCAGTGCACGCTGGATGTGAGGCGCCGCGCCGCCGCCTTTGCGCTCTTGGTCTTGGAGCCGCCGCTGTCGCTGCTCCTTCAGGGCTTTCGTTACGAACACCTGTTCAATCCCGCCGCCCTCGTCTTCCTACGAGGGAGGGGGGAGATGGGAAGGCGGGGGACGATGGGACTGGTCAGAGTTCCGGGTGCTCCAACCTACCTCTTGGCGTGCAGGGTGGCTTTCAGAAACCTTGCGGTAGACCGTGCGGCATAATCCAGCATCCGCCTTGCTGCTCCTCATTCTCATCCTTGACGAGGTGGCTCATGATCGTCTGGGCACCGTGATGGCACGGGAGCAGGACAGCACGCCGAGCCTAAGCCAGCAGTCTGTATGTATCACCATCATTGGGATAACCTCAAGAAGGACGAGAGAGGTGCAGGAGAAGTGTGTTGTTGTTTCTGGGCAACCTTTCTTCCAAGAGTGGCCGCGCAACCACGGTCCAGGGTTCGCGAGGCAAGGGATGGTCGGCGGCGAGCGAGGGGGGGAAATGAGAAGGGGCGAGCCTTCTCAGAAGGCTCAGAAGTCCCCCGGCCTTTGAGAAGTTTCCGAAGCCGTCCCCGAAGACAGACGCCAGCTTCTCAGAAGGCCCGAGGGTCTGACGAGTCACGCCTTCTTCTGAGAAGGCCTTCTCCTCACTTCCCCCCCCTCGCTCGCCGCCGAGATGGGGGTGCGACCTCCTCCCCCCTGCTGGCCCTCCACCGCCCGGCGGGGCGGGATTTACGCACCGCCCTGACTGGCTTGTGGGCTCAGAGCTCCATCCTTGCGGCCCCCCAGAGGCAGCCCCAGAAGGCGCCGCGGGGCACGACGCTTCCTCCCAGGGCTGGACCTAAACGGTGTTTTCGGCGATTTCGTGGGCCGTTTTCGTTTCGATTTCGTTTTGCGGGAAAGCCAGATTCGAGACAAACGCGAGGGATGACGAAAACACAACGAAAACGAAAAACACCGTTTACGTTCAGCCCTGCTTCCTCCTGCCGATCAGCCCGCCCTTCACGCAGTCATCTGGAATCACTCTCCACTCCCGCCTTCCGTGCTCTGTCTGGTGCGGGGGCCGCCTCTGCCGTGTATGCTTTGCTTTCGCACAGGGTTTCCAGAGCTGATCTGTCACGCTATTTTTCGGTCGGGCCGTTCTCGGTCCTTTAGGGTGGTGCTCCCGCTGCGGCGCCGGTCTCCTCTCAGGACCGGTGATTGGCTCCAGTCGTTCGGAATGGTGCTGTCGCCCCAGCGCGAGCCGCATTTCTGGGTCCGAGTCGTTCCCCGCCGGGAATCACAGACCGAGGGGAGGACACATGGCATACACACACATGTATATATAGACATACATATATATATATACACGGTTTATATATATACACATATATATATATACATATATATACATATATATCATAATCTGCTTCTGGGAGCCTCCCTGGGGATCCTCACGGAGCTCTTGGACCGTCTTGGGGTCCTCGTGGGGCGTCTTGCAGCCCTCGTGGGGCCGTCTGGGAGCCCCCGCGGGGCCGTCCTGCAGTCCTCAAGGACCGCCTTGGAGCCATTGGGAACACTTCGACTGCATTTCAGGAGGGAAACCATACAGACACAAATAGTCGTCGATTCCCAGGAGAATATGGAAAATATGGGAAGTGGATGGGGAAGGCGACCGTCCAGAACATGTCGGAAAGGATTTGTGCCCATTTATTTGTGCCCCTGAGCCTCTTCATGCATCTGGGAACTGCAGCGGACGAGGCTCCCCTGGGGGAGGGGGTTTGGGGCGGGGCAGCAAACTCGCGCGCCAACACCACTCCGACGGGTCGGACTGTGCCCGCGCCAGGCGAGGCGTCAACCACACCTACCCAGTGATCGAGGGCCCGATCCTCTGCCACGACGTCCAGCTGGAGATCTTCCTTCCGATCCTCCTTGGGGAAGGCCCTGTGAGCTTCACGCTGACGATTCCTCCGGGAAGCGCAAACACGGATCAATGCGCTTGGATTCGCGACGGGTCCCGATTCTACCTGAAGCACTCTGGGAGCCCTTCGGGACCCTCCCAAGCCGTTTGCAAGATCCCCAGAGCGCTCCAGGTTTCGAGCCCACCAGAAAACGACCACCCCCGGACCCCTGGGCCCCTTTCGGACGCGACGTCGGCTCGTTCCGTCGCCAAGCGAGGCGGCACTGGCCTCCTGCCTCCGGGTGGCGTTCGCCCCGATCCGTGGACACGGCGCCCACGCGCCAGACCCGCGGATCCGCAGCCCGCGTTGGCGTGTGCCCGACCTCCACGTCTTCCCGCACTCCGACTTGCTCACCTTCGGCGACTTGATTCGTCACGCGATGTGCATCGGAGGAGGAGGAGGAGGAGGGGGAGGGGGAGGAGGAGGAGGAGGAGGGGGAGGAGGGGGAGGAGGAGGAGGAGGAGGACTATAGAAAGAGCAGGAAGAGGAGGGGGATTCCGTGGGCAGGGGGGGACTTCGCATCGCGTGACGAAATCCCTCTGCCTACACCTCTCCTCTCCTCTCTCTTTCCGCTCTTCTATCTCTCCACGGCGCGGGCGCCGATGGGCCGACTGCTGGACAACCCGTGGTTGTGGAGCCCATGCTCGGCCCTCCACGCTCCACATTCCCGGCTCGCCACTTTCCCCCCCATTCTCCCACCCCGTTGCGCCCTGCCGCTCTCCCCTCCCCTGCCTCATCCTCCTGCCCTCCACGTCGCTTCATTCCTTTTCCTTTTATAAATAGCTCCTCCCTGTCGCACCCCTAGGCCGGTCGAATGGGCGGGCCAGGCGTTTCGCCTGAGACTTCCTCGCCATTCATGATCCTGCAGCTTGAAATTTGCAAGAGTTTCACGGATGGAGGACGGGTGGTTTTCAAAATGTGTTTCTCGCCGTAGAGCCGCGCACACTCGTTTCAAACACATTCAGCAGTTTCACGGACGGCGGGCGGGTCGTTTTCAAAATGTGGTTCTCGCCTTGGCGCCGCGCGCACTCGTCTTGAGCAAGTGCAGCAGCCTCACGGATGGAGGGTGGTCCGTTTTCAAAATGTGGCTCATGGATCAGCGCCGCGCACATCCGTTGCAAACAGTTGCAGGATTCTCACAGGTGGAGGGCGGTCCGTTTTCAAATTCTGGCTCTCGCCTTCGCGCCGCGCACGTTCGTCTCCAAACAATGCAACAGTTTCACGTGAAGGGCGATGTCTTATCAAAACGTGGCTCTCACTTTAGCGTCTCTCACATCTCCCCCAAATGGTGTTATGGCACGGTGTGTCAGGGCGCAAGACTTATCGTGATTCGGTACATGGACAACATGTTGCACAACCTGGTGCCCGACAGCGGACACCGTTTTAAAAGAAACGTTTACGTCTGAGCCCCCCCCTACCCCCATCTAATATTGGCTGCGGGCCGGGGTCGCCGAAACAGGTCGGTGGTGCAACATTCTGTCGATCGCCTGGGGAATTTTAGAACAGCTCCTTCTCGCGTGCCCCCAATATTTAGATGGGGCGGGGTGTTACAGTACACATTTCAGAGCTCGCCTAAAGTGATGCAACATTTTGTCGACGTACGGTACCCCCTCGCCAGGGCCAGGGACCAGTCCATGACGGGGAAAAAGAGGATGATGAGAAGGAGGAGGAGGACAATGAGACGGAGGAGGACGAGGATGACGATGCGGACGAGGAGCAGGAGGAGGAGGAGGAGGAGGAGGAAAAGGAGGATGAGGAGGAGCCAAAGCAGCAGGACGGGGGAGGAGGAGGAGGACGCAAAATAACATCGGCACCCACGACGGCGCAACCCATAGAGGGCATCCGACATGTGGCCTCCCTGCACAGCAACCCTTCTCCAGCGCCTCGTTGGCTGTGTCTGTGGACGGGGGTGGATCACCGAAGGCTCGAACCGTTCGTCCTAAGGATCCGTTGGTAGAGGGTTGCGATGCCAGTCTGGGTGCGGAATTCACGACCGTGGAATGCAACGCAATGCGACTGCAGCGCAATGCGATTGCAATTCAATGCGATTGCAATGCCACGCAATGCGAACGAAACGCAATGCGATTGCAATGAAGAAGCAATGCGACGCGATGCGATTGCAACGCCATGCGATTGCAGCGCAATGCGATAACAATGCAATGATCATCCTTCTCGTCCCCTTCGTCCCCCCCATCCTCATCCTGCTCCTCCTCCTCCTTCTCCTCCGTCTGCTCCCGATTCCCCAGCTCTGACATCCGCCATCCTCCCTCCCTCCTCCTCCTCCTCCTCCTCCTCCTCCTCCTCCTCCTTCTCTTGCTGATGCTGCTGCTGCCCCTGCTCCTGTCCTCCTCCTCCTCATTCTCCTCCTCCTCATCCTCATCCTCATCTTCGAGGGTGGATCGTTCAAGCGAAAAGACGCTCGTTCGAGCGAAAAGGTCATCCGTTCAAGCGAAAACCAATCGAGCGGAAACCAATCGGGTTTGGACAGAGCAGCAGAGAGCAGAGAGCAGCAGAGAGCACAGAGCAGCACAGAGCAGCAGAGAGCAGAGAGCACAGAGCAGCAGAGAGCACAGAGCAGCAGAGCGCACAGAGCAGCAGAGCGCACAGAGCAGCAGAGCACAGAGCAGCAGAGAGCACAGAGCAGCAGAGAGCACAGAACAGCAGAGAGCACAGAGCAGCAGAGAGCAGCAGAGAGCACAGCAGCAGAGAGCACAGAGCAGCAGAGAGCACAGAGCAGCAGAGAGCAGCAGAGAGCACAGAGCAACATGTGATTCCCTTTCGGCATATACCAGTGAGGTCCGCCATATTTGAATGCATGTAGGTGTGCGTGTGTGTTGGTCGCCCTTGTCACTGTCAAACGCCCAGTTGCATTCACCGCAGTGAGGGTGCCGCGTGGCGCGCAGAAGGGAAGCTTGTTCACTCCACGGTGAGAGCGTTGACTCTTAATAACCTCTCGACCACTACATCAGAGC